GTTAAAAAAAAAAAAAAAAAAAAAAAAAAACTGCTTTTGAATTTGTTTGATAATTTTCCGGGGTGCTTTATAATGATTAATTAGAGACAAAAGAGTTTTTATAGGATGCTGGTCTCAGTTGGAGTTCTTTGAACAGCATAAGCATAAGCTATTCCAACCTGGCCCTAGGTACTACTACTTTAATGATTGCCAACTCAAAATTTGATCACATCATCACTTGGAATTCCATAAAATTGATTTGCAACCCAGCAGGAAGAGAAGACCAAGAATCACGGCTAGAGTGGGTCGGAAAAATGCTATGAGATTCTATGTGATTGGAAGATAGCTATCAATTCAAAAGGCCATTCAATACAAGACAGCTATTAGACTATCTATCTTTTATGGCAGTGAGTCTTGGGTCTTCAAAGGATAAAATTTTCATAAGATGATAGTAGTAAAAATAAGGATAGGAAGATGGACATGTAATTATAAAGAAATAAGGATATATGCCACTGAGTGGAGGTGGTATTCAAGATAATTACAAAGGAATCGTGACTTAAATGGTTGGGCTCATACTCAAACCTAATGAAGATGTTGTATAATAAAGCGGTTCCTGATAGAATATATAGTAGAACATTTAGATTGTAGAGGTGGGTCTAAATTAACATGGTTTGATGTGGTTCAAAGGATTTGATTCCATTTGATTCTTTGGCAGTGGAGAGGTGTAAAATTATTCATGCACCAGACCCCAAGGTTAATCGAAAAAAGGATTAGTTTTTTTTTTTTAGGCAATCACTTACCCAGTTGATTGGGTAATTTTGTATATTCTTCTTGCAAAGTAATTGCATTAAAAATACATGAAAACCAGGAAGAGACAAAATTGTTTTAAAAACTTTGTAGGTAAAATCGTATTTAAAGCTAGGAAAAACCATATATACAACTTATAAATTGGTTTAAAAATTGATTGTAAGTCGAACATTAACTTCAACTGTAAATTCGTAACTACTTGTCATTATCATCCCCACATTTCATGTGGCCCACAACTATTTTCTTACTATTCCTATTTATAAACCAGTTGTCAATTTTCCAAACGGAGGCTTAATTCGTCTTTTGCTAAACAAAAAAGAATTTATCTGGAGCTGAGAAATTTCATCTACATTATATCAAGTCAAAACTAGATTACAGGTAATGCATTCCGAACAGAAAAGGGTTTTAAACCAGTCATTTGTTGAATTTAAACAAACTAAGGATAAGCAAAAGCCAGGTTTGGAAGCTCGTATTTGATATGGAAAATTGCCATTGATTCCTTGGAAATCTTCAGATAAATATTTCTGATGTTCATTCGTCCAAGTCTATTATGGTCCCATTATCTTTTTAGTTACGATGATGTTCTTTTGATATTCATCAGGTCAGAGGTATAGTGTAGTTATTCCTGAGAAATTGAAGACTGGGAAATGGAATGTATACAGGTAGCCATCTCCCCCATTTATTCGTAATATATTCCCAATCATTTGTTCTATATATTCTATTTGGGCCCTTCTAATAATTGTTATTTCATGGCAGATCTGCACTTTCTCCTTTGAAGCTTGTTAACAGTTTTCCAAATCATGCTGAAATCGTCACATTGCATGATATCTTCGTGTAAGTGTTTTTCCCCCTCTCTCAATAATTTCTTATGCTTTCTACATATAGATACTATCCCTTGATATTCATTGTTTATTGTCTGCATAACATGTGAATGTTGAATTAGTCTAAACTCTTTTAGAGCTTGTAAAGCTGTACTGCAGCTATATCTGCTAAAGACCTGCTCTTAGTTGGTTATTTTACTTCATGTTTATTTCTACACTTTGTGTGTTCAGGCATGCAGTCGAAACTTTCCAAGATTACAAATACTTGGGTACACGTATTCGGATTGATGGAACCATAGGAGAGTAAGTTTATTGGTGAAGCTACCTGTTCAGATTGAAAATTTTGAAGCAAGCTAACTTCAAGGATAATATTATTTGTATGTATTCTTTTGATGCTGAAGATACAAATGGATGACATATGGAGAGGCAGGCACTGCTAGATCAGCATTAGGCTCAGGACTTCGCCATTATGGACTACAACCAGTATGGTCTTTTATATATATATATATATATATATTTATTTATTTATTTATTTATTTATTTATTTATTTTTGCATATATTTCTGCATTCAATCAGTTGGACTGTGCTATTAATCTATCCACACGGAAAAAGTGATTCAAATTCTATTAAATAACCTATAATACATTAGAATTGTTCTGGATGGTTTAAGAAAAATAATACTTCTGCATGCTATCTTCTTTTTAATGGATATATATCTACTTTTCTTCCCATCTTGGTCTGCTTCAATGTGGCTTTCGTTCAACAAAAATCTGAATGTTAGGGTAAAGAAACTAACTTTAATATGGTCTACTTACTAGAGCATGATATATTGATTATTCTTGGAGCAGGGAGCTTGCATTGGAATTTACTTTATAAATAGACCAGAATGGTTGATTGTTGATCATGCCTGCTCTGCATATTCGTTTACTTCAGTTCCTTTATATGACACGCTTGGTGAGTACGTGTTCGTTCAGTTGAGGCTTCATTACTCTAGTCCTGTTGATTATGATAGTGACCTTGTTCGGTTCATTTGCAGGTCCTGATGCTGTTAAATATATTGTGAATCATGCTGATGTACAGGCCATATTTTGTGTGACCAGTACTCTAAACACTGTGAGTCTTTCTTCTTTATGCTCCTTTACTAGGGATCCCATGATAAATCCATTGAACCTATTGATGAACACTTCTCACTAGTATTAACTTCTGCTATTGTACAATAATAATACTGAAATTATGAAGACTAAGGCCAGTGTCGTATTTATGTTGCCAATTCAATTGCACATATTCCAGCTAAATGCATATTTGGTGTTAGTTACAAATAAACTATAACAGTAATCAAGAAGCAAAGACTTGCTCGAAAGGCGGACAGGTTTTACATGATTTATGTTTGCTGTCTTTGTTATAGGTTAATATGTTGTGAACTTTTTATGGCTTTTCTTTCTTTTGCGCTCCCATTTTCCTCATGCTGGATTGGAGGAGGAATATATTTATTTTGTAATTTTTTCTAAAGTTTTAAACAGATGTAATATACGTAGTTTCTCACATTCCATTCTTTTCCTAAACCTTCAGTTGCTAAGCTTCCTATCGGAGATTCCATCTGTACGTGTAATAGTGGTATGTCCATTTAGAGATTTTTGGTGGAAAATTTTAGTCAATCTAATATAACATTGTTTTCTTTTTTGCTAATGTGGATTCCCTTTCACCTTAAATGACTTAGGTAGTGGGAGGGATAGATGAACATCTCCCATCTCTACCTTCAATGTCGGGAGTTAAGCTGATATCATACTCAAAGCTACTTGGTCAGGTATTTGTAATCTTCTCGGTAACAGTGTATAGTTTCCTTTTTCTGTTTGTGTTTTCTGACGGTTATACCTGTCATAAATATGTTTTATGACACTGTCGTCCACGACGGTTGCACAGCCATTACGGAAATGGATTTAGGAGATGGGAGAAGGAAAACATCAATTCACACGTAAAAATAGATATGATAAGAGACAACTTAATGTGTTTAAACTTTAAATTACAAAGAAAAGGTGATTGGTTAATGCGGTTTCAGTTGAATGGAGAAGATACCTTTAATACAATGCAATGGTTTATGAAGAGATTTATGGAGCCAAGAAAAGTTATGGTTAGATAAAGCTTTCATATTGGAGATCAATAGAGAGTTGTCTGTAACCCAAGTGACATTCAAATATCTGTCCCACATTCGTTTGTGAAGGTACTTAATGCGTTGAAAACCATTTCAACAGTTTTTCCATCTTACAGATAGAATTTTGATAGGGCTTTTCAATAGTACTGAACATTTATCCCCTCCTTGAGTTCCATAATTAAGAATGGAAATGAACAATTATTCCCCATCAAACTTATCTTCTGTTTAGTAGATCTGTTTCAAACTGTTCGTCTTCTCGAATGTCGTTCTTTACCTGCCTCGATTTACTTTACATTCTGTGGTTATATTATTTATTCTGCTTACTTGGAGAGATTGCAACATTTTTTATTTAAGTATGTCCTTCAAAATTAGAGTATAGCTGAACTAACAAAATGGAAAAGAGTGGGAAAATAGGAGAGATTACAATTCGTTTATAGAACTAGGAGTTCTTTCTAAACCTCAGTTTTAATGTATGAATTAACTGCCTGTTCCAAGATAGTTGTCTCATTCAGATAGGTGATTACATATATGTTTTTCAATATTGGGCACCTTGCACTGTGCAAAAGCAAAACATGGAAAATATAAATACCTAGTTTGAGGAAAAAAATTGGGTTTGCGGATGTTTTCTTTTTGTTTCTGTACATCAAATTTGATTTCTGTTATTTATTGAAGGTCCTAAACCTGTGCTATGTTACTTAGATTTCGTTAACCAGAATTTGGTCTCTTAGAGTTGATTTTTAAACTTCTCTTAGATGTAAAAAGTAATTCTCGAACTGTCAAACTTGTTGTTCTACCTCTGAAGATTCATTTATGCAATAAGAAAAGATCTTACAATTTTAAATTAACTTGCTAAAAATGTAAATATTAGAGGTCTCTAATTGTAGCTTTTCTAAACAAGTATACATCTAACACAGAGAAAATGTTAATACCAAAATTAGCGAATGGATTTATCTCATGGATTTGCTTTGTTTCTGATATTATGTTGTTTATCAATGCTTCTTGACATTGTTTCTGATGTCTATATTAGTAGTTGGATATGTGATGCTTTTATTCTTGTGTGGTTAGTTCACCAATTGCCTACTTTTTTGTCTCCATAATTGGAGAAAGAAATATAATCATACTATTTATGGGTCATAATTTAGTGATTGGCAGTGGCACCATGACAGTTTAATGTTTCCAATTACAGATGTTTCTGTTTTCTGACTGATTAACTTCAACAGACTAATTACGGAATGAATAAATTTTAATCTGCTAAAGTTGGTTCCCTTACAGGGCCAAAGTAGTATATATCCATTTTGCCCTCCCAAGCCTGAAGATGTAGCCACTATATGCTATACTAGCGGTACTACGGGGACACCTAAGGTAGCACTTGTGAATTTCTGTTTCAGATATTTCACTTTAGGCACCATACATAAAATGGTTGGTTATTGAGACATTACAAAACTCTTTTGTCTTTGATAAGGGAGTTGTTTTATCACACGGCAACTTGATAGCAAGTGTTGCAGGCATGACCCTTTCAATTAAATTTCATCCCTCGGACATGTGAGTTTTATTGGAACTAACGATTTCTTTTCACTTTCATCTTGTCATATTGATAATAATTATTTTTCTTATAGATATATATCCTATCTTCCGCTGGCACACATCTATGAACGAGCTAATCAGATTTTGTCAGTGTACTATGGTGTAGCTATTGGCTTCTACCAGGGGGTACGTGATCTTCGCATGATACTTTTATTTCCTGGAAATGTAGTTATATATTTCTGGTTTTCTACCTTTGCTTGTGTTTCATTTCAGTGGAACAAAGAGAACAAACTCTTATAATGTGAAGTTGGCTGTTTGAACGATGGAAACTCTCTTTCTCTCCCCTTCCCTTACTAAGATAATAGCTAAGATTTGGTATTAGCTGAGATTTGGTATCCCTGATGCCCTTAATACAGTTTTACTTAAATAGACGAACGGGCAATAACCGGTATGAATTTCATATAGATTAGCTCTATGCATCATCGCTCTTCTACATGGGAATTGGGAAATTTCAAACTGTTGAAGTTTTCGAGGAATTGAAGTACTTTATCACATATCTGCAATTTGAACCAAAGGTTAAGCATACTGAAACTTCGATTGGTAAATTTTACCTGTTGAATCTGCAGTGGTTGATGAAATGGGAGCAAATTTCTTTTTAATTTCAAGTGATTGTTATTACAACTGGGATCCAGCCCATCTAAAATTTTGGATATTTGGTTCAAGTTACAAACAATGGGCCAATGCATAAAAAGGGAAAATAAAACCGGAAAAGCTCAGATAAGTTTAACTGAAAGTTGTTGAGAAAAAGGCTCTTTGAATTTCCTGCTGTGTTAATGATTTTGATGTTATATGTCTGCAGTTGAATTTTATTATTGCAACAGCTTTATGTATGAATGGTGTTACTGTTCTGCAGGATAGCATGAAGTTAATGGATGATTTAGCTGCTCTAAGACCCACAATATTTTCCAGTGTTCCTCGATTATACAACAGAATATATGCTGGGTAATAGTCGTTAAATGTTTATCAAATGATAGTTGTATTTATTTAGTGAGTTCTCTCAGTAATTTATTTATTCATTATTTTTTGGTTCATTGTAGGATAACCAATGCTGTAAAGACTTCCGGTGTCCTAAAGGATAGACTATTTAACGCAGCCTACAATTCAAAGAAGCAAGCTGTAATGAGTGGTATGATCAACTACAGCTTCATTTTAATTATTTTCCTTTATGTGATGTTGCCATGTTACCAATTGTATATATCTATTACTCGTATGTTTTGTTGCAAAAGTACCATATCTTTGAAAGAGAAAGCCTTCTATCAATATCAGAATGTGCAAAGAGTACCTATGGGTTACTGGTGGTGGGGGAGGGATGATTGGGGTATTAGATAATAGATACTAAACAAAAATGGTCTGTGAATCTTTTATTCACAGCTATTATCACGTGGCAGAAGAAATGAGTGAAGTAATAAAAGAAGATTTTGAAGTAGTATCGAAGTTCAACCTAGACCAAGTGTCTGTGTGTTACATGTTGTGAAATCTCAGGTTTGTGTTAATAAAAAGTTGTTGGTGAAGCCATGATAACAAAACCAAGTTTTTTTCTATTTGTATCACAGATATACTTGAATATGAATCTAAATCATGTAAAATAAACCAGCAAATGCAAGCTGGAAGTGATTGGATGAAGGTAAACACAATGATTTATAGTGGTTCAAATTAAAGTGATCTACATTCACTACTAGTGATGGTAAAGGACTTTTAGCGACATTAGAAAAAATTCTTTAACATTTTAGATGGAGAAATTCCACAACTTACAGCAACCTTTTCGTTTGAAAGTTGGTGAACTACAGTTTGTAGTTTACTAAAGGTAAACACTGAAATCTGAATACATCTGAATAGTTATGTTTCTGCACGACACGATATGAGTTCTTAGCTTTTCATTTTTTGCACCCAAAGCCTCCTGTAATAGACAGATAAATAATGAAATACAGAAACTAACTAAATACTGTAAGATGAAAATCCTGAGAACATAGCCGTTGAGGGTTTATTCCTCTTCAGGATTGAACACTCCTTTGTTTTCTGTATATATGCAATGCAGGCTTTCAAAAAAATCCCTCTATGGGTAATACTCTTGCCCTGTTTCGTTTAGCTAAAATCAGAATTCTAGTATATTTTGATAAATGTACGAGATGTGTGGTTGAAAAGTTGATAGAAGTTGTGGGGTCCATGTAATGTGTGTTTAAAAATGAGTTTGAGGAAAAATGAGTTTTAGAAAATGGTGACCAAATAGGGGCTGAGTTATTCTATTGCTTTTTCGGACTATAAGGACTGAATAAGTGATGGCATTTGACATTAACTTAACGAATTTTTGAAGTTGACAGTGTCTATATTTTTCTCTTATGTTATTACTTGTTTAAATTGAACACTGAAGTATCTATGTAGACACGAAATATTGAGTCATGGGACAGGAATTAGTAAGCTTCCTTGAAAATTAGGTCTGTAACAATATTGGAAGCTTCCTGAGTGATACTAATTTGTTAGATCCGGAGGTGTAAAATAAATGAATTGAAGATGGGGGCATTGGTTTTTCAGTCTGAAAAAGGTGTATTCTGAATAGATTCTCGTGTCAGGATATCATTACTGAACAACTCAATGTTATGTCATTGGAAAACGAATCCCGAGATATCCTAGGAAAGTGAAAATGTGTACATTTAAAATTATTACAATTGATCCCTCATTAAATCCAAGAACAGATTGCATAGTGCATTGTCATCAAACCTAAACTATGTATCAGAGCCTTTGTTACCTTTGGTAAGCAGAACCGTTGTATCTCCAATTGTTTGATATTGGTATGTGCCTTGTACCAACCACCATGTTTTTTGGAATATTCTCCAAGGTCTGACTGCACAAGTGGGTTGACACTTTAGGGATAATAGAGGATTGGATCTAAAACAGGATTAAGGAACACACATTAAATGTATGTCCAGTCTCATGTGCAGCCCTACTCTCATAAAATAATCAGGTATTAAAATTATCAAGGACCACAATTAGATTCAAGAAAAAACTAGGACAATCAACTTTCAGTGAGTTATCCACAACTAAATTATAATTTGGTTCAATCTCTGACTTCATGAATCTACCTAGCCATTTCAACTAATTCTTGCTAATTTCAGTTGTTTTTTAATCTTATTTTCTTCCAAAAGTGTTGGTTTTTCTTTTCATATTTTATTTTCTCTCTTCTCTTTTCAAATTCTCTCTCCAGGTTTTTGTTATTTATTATCCAGTTGTTTCGTATTTCATGTCTGTTTTTATCTGGTTTATCACCCAAAGGATGTGGAGATTGACATTGTTGATTCCAGCTTCACAATCTAGTTTCCACGCTTTCCATAATGCATTTGTTGTTCTTGCACTTTAGGTAGAAAACCATCACCAATGTGGGATAGATTGGTCTTCAATAAAATAAAAGACAAACTTGGAGGGCGTGTTCGACTGATGACTTCAGGTGCTTCACCATTGTCTCCTGATGTCATGAAGTTTTTAAGGGTGTAAGTTGATTATTCTTCCCACTAGATATGTAATATTTTTAATTGATGAGAATTAGGGGGTCTCACTTTTTATCCAACATTTCACTCTACATGTAGATGTTTTGGCTGTCCAATTCTCGAAGGATATGGTATGACTGAGACTTCGTGTGTCATTAGCTCTATGGACGAAAGCGACACCTTAACTGGTCATGTTGGTTCTCCCAATCCTGCTTGCGGTATGCTATTGACGGTGACTTGTACAATTATTAGCATGTAATGCCTTAGTTAACATCTAGTCAACTCGTTAACATCACTACTGATGTGGAAACTGAAATCCAGGCACTGAGAAGGGATAATTATTTATAATATTTTGTTTGTTGTATAAATGCCTTTATTGTTTGTGGGTTGAAACATTTGCTTGTGTAAAACCAATTTTCTTGTCACTTCCAGAAATAAAGCTGGTGGATGTTCCTGAGATGAATTACACTTCTGAAGATCTACCACATCCTCGTGGGGAGATCTGTGTTAGAGGTCCCATAATTTTCCAAGGCTATTACAAAGATGAAGTCCAGACGTGAGTATCTTTCAAATATGTATCTAGCATGCTCAATATAGATTTGGAAATCCTAAGCACGTTTCACTCTTGTTAATAAACAGGAGAGAAGTAATTGATGATGAAGGTTGGCTGCACACTGGGGATATTGGATTATGGCTACCCGCTGGACGTCTTAAGATCATTGATAGGTAAGGTTTATCATTTTGTAGGATATTGATGTTGTAATTAGTACATGCATAGCTTGTTAGGAATTAGATTTCTATCAGGATCAGTAGAACGCAAAATAATTTGAACTGAGAAGAATTAAAAATGCCAAAATAAGTGCAAGTACGACACAACTATATCAATGAAAGAAGAAGAGGAATACAAAAATATCTTGTATTTTATTTGCCTGTGCGCAGAGACAATCTCTCAATTTTCTCTCAAACTCTCTGCACAAAACTAAAGCCTGGCTTTCTGCTTCTCACTCTGTGTTTCACTCTCTGTGTCGTATAAAACTTCATTCTGCACATTTTATTTATAGAGAATGCCAGGAGACATAATCTTTCTCTGTTTTATCAATTTGGCTACAATTACGTGCGTATCAATTCAGTGCATTTAATTTCATTCCCAATTGAATCTGAATTTGAGAAAAAACCATGCTTGATATTGTTTGCATTAAATGCAAAGAAAAATCTTTCCAGCCAACTTAAAAATAAAAAATATGCGAAGCCTACATATTAGGCTCCACTATTTATGAATAGTGCCTTTCACTATTCAACATATCTTACTTTGGCGAAAGACTTTGAGCTGTGATTTGCGTACAAAATTTTGCTTGAGATCTTTGGTTAGCTATTCTTGAGTTGTTATTTTTCCGTACCCTTACTTTTTCTTTTGAAACCATTGGATGAAAACTAGTAGGATTGGTCCAATCTTTACATTCTTTCCAACGAATGGTTTTTTCCTTTGGTAGTGGTTGGTTAGAGAGGTTTAAATGTTGATTTTCTTACTGTTAACAGGAAAAAGAACATTTTTAAGTTGGCCCAGGGCGAGTACATAGCACCAGAGAAAATTGAGAATGTATATGCCAAGTGCAAATTTGTTGCGCAGTGCTTCGTGTATGGTAAGAAGATTTCTTCATGTTTCTGCATGGAACTCCCAACCATTTCTTTTGCTGACTGGCGCAATGTAACAGGCGATAGCTTGAACTCCAGTTTAGTTGCAGTAGTTTGTGTGGAGCCAGACGTTTTAAAGGATTGGGCCACATCAGAAGGCATTAAGGTAATCTTAATCCTTTCTATGTTTTCAGTTTGCAAACCACTTCCAATGAAATCTAAAGTCTCGAGCTCTCAGAAATTTTCATGTTGCATTGTTGCATTTGATTCAGCCATCCTTTCATCAATTTTTGCTTGTTACTATTGCTACAGACAGCTAGCTGCATTGCATTATTTATCTCTTATCACAGTAGTGCAGCATGGGACGTTCTTGGTCATGATTTCTTTTGTCCTTTTTCTTTGGGCCTATTATTGTAGTTGTTCTTTAAGGATCAAACAGTAATACAAGCTTAATATCTTCTGGACCGGTTTCCAGCCTAATTTTTAGGGAGACCTGTTATATAAATTTTCCAAAAATACTTTTTTGTTGCTTCATCTGATGAATTTTTCTTCCATTCCATCATAATTACTGGTGCAGTCATAGTCACTAATCGGCTTCATCCGGTGCCATAAGTTCCGACTGCCTGGGGACCGCTTGTCTAAGATCCTCTCTCAAGGCTGTTCCCGAAATTGATGAAATGTCTGAGCCCTCGAGAGATGAAAATATTGTAGTTCACACTTATAATTTTATTAATTAGTATATTTGTTGTTCATCTTAGCACAGTATGTCACTACCTGATCACAAGATAAATAAAGAGGCACAACCACCTCTCATGCAGAACTAGATGTGTTATTGGGAGTGTATGGGCATCCTTTTTTAGATAAGAGTCCTAGCTATTTAGCATGCTTAATGAAATGTGACACAGCCAGATTAGGCAGACTCTTTATGAACCTCACTCATGGATCGGCAGTTAAAAGATACAAGGAGTCAGGGAATTGGTCTCATTCCCCTTCCCAGTACTCACACACAGGGACAAGAAAACAAGTCAAAAATAAAGAAACGAAGAGAGATCCATGTGTTTTATATCCATTTGAAATGATAGCTTTTCTATGTACCATTACTCAAATTCATTGAATGAGGTTTCTCAATGTTACTTAGATATGCATCTCAAACTTCTTTTGCTAAGTTGATTTTACGTATTGTGCAGTATGAAGATTTAGGGCAACTATGTAATGATCCAAGAGCAAGGGCTGCCGTTCTTGCTGAGATGGATGCTGTAGGGAAGGAAGCTCAGGTAATCTCTTCCCAGAGTGATTTTTATCGATGCTTCATATAGATTTCTAGGTGTCTTATTTGGTGACATCTTTTATGCAATTGATGGCTCTTCATTTTTCTAAACAGTTGAGAGGTTTTGAATTAGTGAAAGCTGTCACCTTGGTGATTGAGCCATTTACGATGGAGAATGGATTGTTAACTCCGACATTTAAGGTAATTTCTTTTCTCACCTAAAGTTCAAAGGATCTAGAATCTTTACATATTCAATGTAAATCTGGAAATGGAACAAACAAAAAAGCCCGAAAGGATTTTACTGAAAAACAGCGAAGCGAAAGCTGAAAAGAATTTGTTTAGCCGACCTCCAATTTATTCCGAAAAAGGCTTGCATTGTCATTGTTGTATCTTCACAACTAATTTAGCAACCAGAGAACAGTTTGTTTGATTCATCGCTTTGTTTGGAATCTCAGATAAAGAGGCCCCAAGCAAAGGCCTACTTCGCCAAAGCAATATCCGACATGTATGCCGAGCTTTCATCTGATGCACCAAAAAGGATGTTATGACCACAACTTGGAATATTCCAAAGTATAGAAGCCTCCACTGCTTGTGGATAATCTTCAATGTCTGCTTTGTAAAAGCCAAGTGTGCTAATTAATTACTTGCTCTTATTGGTGTGTATTGTCCCAAGAAAGTTTTGATTAATTCATCCAATTTACTGTTCCAAAAAATTGTAATATTGGGAAATAATTTGTCGTGCGACCAATAATTTATCGAAAAGTATTATTAGCATAGATAATAAAGAAAATAATGGTTATGAAGCCGGTAGAACTGGAAATTTTCTGATCACAGTTTTGCAAGTTGTAGTTTTAAAGCAGTCCTAGACGAGCTGACAGCGGCATGGTTTATCTCAGAATGTTTATTTCTATGTTGTAATATATTGAATAAGTTTGTTCGACGACAAAGTTGTAAGAGCTTCGATTGTCTGAATATTTTTTTCATTTTCTTTTGAGTAATTGGGTAACATTCTAATATTGTATGCTAATACGTATCGATTATATATCTAATTGATTGAGAGAGTTGAAGTCGTGGTGGTAGCGGGCGGCGGGGAATAAGGCATTACCTGCTGCTGCTTCCAATACATAGAGAGAGAATGTTCGTTCAAATAAGGCCTTAGGCTTGGTGTAAGAGCGGGGATTGCTTACTACGGTCATCTAAAGAAATATCACTTGCGAAGTGGTTGCTAATGTTTGTGCAAATGTTCAAGTTAATCCTTATAGTACTTTAGTCATGGAAGTTATTTGAACTTTACATAGTGTCTTAGTGAAAGTAATGTTCAATCTTAGTGGTGCACCAAGACTTCATTCCGCAAGGCTACAATTTCATTTTTGTTGTTGCATTTATTGTAAGTTATTAATTAAGCATCATTGCTAAAATTAAGTCAAGATAAAGTAATCTAGCTTTTTGGCCAATTAATTGTAATTGAATTGATGTACAATGACATTTGTAGGATACTACATAAGATTGGACGTTACTTTGGCATACAAATGACCATTTGTATAATAGTAAATCATTTAGTGACTAAGTAGATTAAAATGTACTTTTTTAGGATCAATTTACAATTTAGTGACCACTTCATTGTTCTAAAAAGCCCGTCTAAGCGAGCTTCGCTTAGATTTGAAGCTCGATGGCTAATCATATTTTATACTTTTTTACAAATAGATTTTGTCTGGCTCATTTAGGTTCGTAAAAGCTTGAAAATTAATTTTGCCGTCTAATCGTGCTTTTTAGAATATTATTTTTTTATACAAATATTTCATAAGAGCTATAAATACTATTCATCATTTATTTTTATCTGTTTATAATTGGAACTAATAATCAATTCCCAAGATGTTCCTCTTAGCTAATTCTTATGTTTTTAAGTGTATGTGGATGGATCTTTTTGTCATCGTTAAAAATATCATTAGAAGAAAATTTAGTACATTTAGAAAGTATTTATAAATTATTTAAATTATACTCTTAATTTTCTTGAAATTTGTAAATAAGAATTGAATTTGAGAAATTGGAGTTAGAGTTAAAAAAATAAAAAAATAAATCACGTGGCTTTGAGAACCTTTGAATGATCTGGTCATGCTGAAAAATAAGATCACAGTCATGGTCCACGCTCACGCGGGATAAATGGATGCTTATGGTCTTGGACAAGGGTGGGCCATGTGATTAGCTTTTTTTATTTTGAGACTGTCGAGCCACTTTAACCACGTGATTATTCTTTTATCTTGATGGTTGAATCAGGGTATAAAACCGTGTTGAAGATAATATACATTTGTACTAGTTTGATTAGGGTTGGCAACGGTTTGGTTATGGGTCAGTTCGATCAAAATCATAATCGCACCACCAATTTTTTGACCATACCATAACCGCACCATAACCACATAAATCGGTTCGGTTCGTATCTCGGTTCGGCACGGTTCGGTTAGGTTAATAACCACGAAAATAAATTTTTTTTTTATAGGTTCATCCATCAAATTGATATAAAATAATTTATGAAAAAATCAATGAAAACAAAAACACAATATTCCAAATAAAAATACAAACATTATTCAAAATTTCAATTGTAAAATACAAATTTAACAAACAATCTCATAAATATAACAATACTAAATTTTTCCTTCATTCTTAATTGTTGTGCATCGAAATTACTTGATTCATTCTTCCCCACAAGTCTTACTAGCATAGATCAATACTCAAAATTGATTCATATATAGTAAATAAGAAATGTAAGTAGAGAATACAACAATACTACCTATTCTAGAATGGTCTTAACTAAAATTTAAATAAAAAAAATGTACCTCTTCGTCAGCTTCCTTCTCGTTAAACGTTACACAAGTTCTAGAGAATGATGAAGAAGTAGAATTTTCTACACACAATAAAAAAAATTAACAATAAAAGAAGCCGTGTTTGAGTTTGTGATCTGTGGAGAGTATATACTGTCATACAAATGCTATTATTTTGGGCTAATGGTAAGTGAGTTGGCCGGCTGAGTCATGTAGATGTAATGAGGGGATTTTGTTTTGAGCTAGATAGAAAAGTAATGTAAAGCTCAATAATCAATTCAATTGGTTTTTATTTTTATTTTTATTTTTTTTTAATAGCGGGTAATCGGTTCGGTTTCGATTCGACGGCGTAAATACCATACTCGCACCGCCATGAACCGGTTCATAAAAATAAAAAATCATATCCGTCCCATTGCACTATCGGTTCAATTTTTTTCACCTCATTCATTTCGATTAACCGCGATTTTCGATTTTAATGGTTCAAATTACCATCCCTAAGTTTGATGTTTATCTTTGTACAAGAACCTGCTCTTAGAAAGCTGAAATCTATACACAGCTGTGCTCAACTGTTT